CCCCGTAACATTACATTGTTTGCTTTATAATGATAACAATAATGTGACATTTATATCGCACAAAAATCTCTAAAACAATCATTGTTCTTTGCGCATTGCATAATATCCATGAAAACATGCATACACACATACATGATACATGCACATAATAATATATGCGCTAAAAAATAAAGTAAATCATTCAAGCAAAATATTGCATAGACTCTTTCTTACTACATGTAAATAAGGAAAAAATTGAGACTCTTTTAATTACAAATAATTAAAATGTTAATAAAACAAGTTACAGTGGAATTCTGATAAAGTCAACACCCCTGACAGAAAAAAAGTGTTTACTTTGAGCAAGGTTACCTTTTATTCATTGTACTACTGGCCATTGGAAATTGAAGATGACAGCTCTACAAAATTACAAAGTACCTGGGGTAATAGACAAGATGTAATCTCAATTTCAGGGAGTATAATTCTGTAGTTGTCTCCAAAACAAGAGATAATGAAAGAGCGCAATATCTCTTCTTAAGGGGAGGGAGGGGGGGGGGGCTACACCCCCAAAATCAAAATTCGGCTCAAAATCATGGAATTTGAGTTGTAGGCATTTTTAGCTTCCTCAGCCTCTCCTACAACTATTTCATGGCATAAGAACCCCCCAAAACCGTATTTTTTCCCATACCGGGCATGTTTGTAACCGCCATTTCCTCATAAAGTCAGTATTTTATTTTTCTTTATCGGCCATTTTCTCAAAATGCCACTTTTCTCTATACTTTTTTGAATAACTACCATTTTTCATCAAATCTTCATGAAATTTTCACAGAATGAAGAGAAGAGGTAATACTAAAATTTTGTCTGTTGAATTTTTGATATATTGAATAGATTTTTGTTGGTGGTGTCTGGAGTGTGGATTTTCAAGGATTTTTCGCAAACTTGAATTTGAATGCTACCTCAGGAAAAAATTCATTAGAAATTTTCTAATTCGATTAGGAAAAAAACAATGGACAAATTTTTAGATCTAATGTTTGTGAACACACATGCAAAAAAACAATCAATTTCCATGAGCGATTAGTGCGGTATTCATTACGTGTAAGACATGTCAATAAAATCGAATATGGCGGCGTATCCATGGAAACAAAACTTTTTTCTCAAATTTGATTGTGGATTTTCAGACTCCTTACTATGCTTCTTATATGTGTGAAATTTGGTAAAATTCGGTCCAGTAATAAGCGAGATAGCCTCCAGGTGTAGCCCCCCCCCCCCCCCCCCCTTAAATGAATTCATCTTGGGATTTTAAATTGTTGACCTTATGCAATTAGTTGACTGGACTGTATGATGTATCAGAAACACAATTAGATCTACAGTGAGGTGTGTTGACTGTAAACAAGAGTTGACTTTAAGCAAGTTGACTTTATCAGGATTCCACTGTAGGCCCCTACCTGTTATTACGGATCATTAAGCATAAAACAAACAGTGAAATTAGATATCATCTACAAAAGAAGTGTTCATCATTATTAATATTATTATGTCAAAAATATTTTTTCACCTCACAAAAGTGTAATACATGTACATGTATTACATTAGTTCAAGACCCCCCCCCCCCTTTCTTACACTTTTTTTTTACAGGAGCCAAAGACCCCCCCCCCCCCCCCTCCCAGGGGCGTAAGATTATATATTTGAACGGCCCAACTTCACACACACACTGGTGCCATGACGTAGGCCTACCATCTGGCGACCCTGATTGATACATGTAATTATTTGATAACGGAAGCAGCATTACCCAATGAAATACATTTTATATACAAGAAGATTAAAAGTAAGTTGTTTTAAGCTCCTTGATTGTAAACCAAGATCTCTGACCTTACCAACGTAGGCAAACCAGTGGTCTTACTGTGGGCCTTCCGGAAAGGAAAACCGGTGGCCAAAACTGCCACGCTCTTCTTTAAAGGTCCTTTGCCACAGCAGAACTTCTGACTGATCGTGTTAATACCGACAAACTATAACCCCTTTAGAAATTAGATATAGGCTTACATGTACATGACGGCCAATCTGCAAAAAGAATAGGCACACAAGGAACCTATATAATATGTAGATCTACCGTACGTAACGTTGTAAGCGTTTTCTCTTGAGTCAGAAATATAGGCCTAGGCCTATATAATTTATATACATTCATACATATATAATTATATATATAGATCTAGTCTCTGAGTTGCAGGTTGAAAGTTATATATTATATTAATAGACACAGAATAATCGAACACTAGGCTATGCTTAACCTGCGTTACATGAGTGAGTGCTGAGTGTAACTTACACTCGTAAGGTCGTGCCCATACCAATATTTGCCTTGGGGCTTGGGGTTGTGTTTCTCAGTCTTCTTCTTTTTTTTAAAACGTTGTACATGTAGTATAAGATAAGAGTTTACGACACTTACAACACAAACAGAAAATTACTGGCTATAATTAGTAGGCCCCCCTATAAGCACCGAGGATTTGGGTTGTTTCTGGAGAGTGCAGTGGGCCCCACTTAATTTGTTAGCCTTATAACAGTCTCGGTTTTAAAAGGATTTCAGCGGTAGCTATGATATAGGCTTATTATATAATAATACATCTATGATAAATAGCATTTTTGTACAGCGCATATCGACAGCAAGCTCTCGAACTTTATTATTTCCCCAGCAGAACATAGGACACTCCGATGCAGAGTGAGTGCACGCAGCTGATAAAAGCGCTCAAGCATTAACAAATTGGGCTTGGACGAAGGGAAACCGAAACCATACGTTAGCTTAGGTCTACATATAAGACGTAGGTTAAACTGTGGCCTGGCCTGCAACTTGCAACGTGGCAAATTTTGATAAGCATTAAGCAAGATCGGAACTGTTTCAGTTTCAGTTTCAGTTTTTTTTTGGTTTTTTTTTTTGCGAAGTCACATGATGAATGCGGTGCTGATATTTTCCGGACACCCCCTTATAAAAATCCATCTGTATTTTTTTTCTTCTTGTGGAGAGTTTTGCCGGATTCGAAATAGTAGACCTTATTATATTGATGTGAAACAAAATCCGTCAAAAATTGATGTGCTGGACTTTTTTTTTGTGACTGTGAAATACGAATTCATGCATACTGATAGTTTACTATATGAATGTCAAGGCTTTAACGAAACTATTTTTTACAGTCCACCTGTGTAAGACGGCCGCGCATTGTCGAAGAGAAAAGTGGTCTTATAGAAGACAGGTGGCTGTCATACGTAGGACTCATCAAAATAAAGAAAACAATCATTTACTTCTGAGGTCCCAACTGAAGGTGGTTTCAGCAAAGATGTTTTTACCTAGATCTAGAATCTTTGGTTGCAGGCTTATTATTAGGGTTTGTTGTTGTTGTTATGTTATTTTTCTTTTGAAAGGGGGAGAGGACGGTTTTTGTGGGACTTTTTGTTGTTAGTTTTATTATTTAAAAAACAAACAAACACAAAAACTTAAGGTTCTGAGAAAGGTCAAAACAAAACGAAATGTGTCAGACGAGGAAACGTAAAGCCATATATATGTGCCACAATAAAACAAACAAATGGGTCAGATCGACGCCTCCACTTGGCGAACGAGCGACACTTATGTCGCGAGTTTGTGTTTACTTCCATATTGTTGTGGATGCTGGGTTTACGGACTGAGTTGTGGGCAGGGCTTAGCTTATGACGAAAATATCGCTTCCCTTAGTCTAGATACCAGCAGCTGAAAACTTATTGTTACACGTTAATTATTGGTCACATTGGGTAAACTTAAATTGGGAGTAACCTAGGCTACATGACCGTTTCATCAATTGGAGGGAGTGACAGTAACGACAGGTGAATATAATCATATTTTGACAGCAACAGTGGAAAGTGCATAATTTTAAAAAAAAGCCTGGCTGTCTCAGACAGGTAACTTTGGGGTGTTGATTGATAAAACATGGTGGCCATGGCCGTGTAGGACAGGTGCCCGTTTTACACTGTTAAATTGTATTTTTTAAAAGGCAAGGGGGAAAATGGCCGTTTGTACTGGTGGCCGTGTTATACAGGTGGCCGTCGTGGCAGCCAGGTTCAATGTGTCATAGTCTGAGCCTACACATCTCTGTGGGCCTAGATCATAGTCTATAGGCCTGTGTGTGATGTGTGTGTGTGTGTGTGTGTGTGTGTGTGTGTGTGTGTGTGTGTGTGTGTGTGTGTAGTTGAGTGTGTTTTCATCCCTCACTTCTATCCCCTTTCAGTGGGTGGTTGGAAGGTGCTCTGGTATGGTTTTTCTTTCCTATCAAGACAAACATCGTCTTTATAATATATCTCCCCTCCTTTTTTGTGTTTGTTACTTTCTTGTAACACCTCTGATCTTCGGCACTTAATGACCTTATTGTGTTGCAAGTGCCGTAAAACTCTTACTAAAGCCAAAACCATCACCTTTCACTAAAAATGTTCTGTCATTTGCTTTCGTCTCCACTTCAAATAAGGTGAGTGTTCACAACCGTGGTCGTTTCCGTGCAAACATTCTGTGGATTTTTAAAAACTCGATCACCGGGCAGTTTCCTGGAATTTCCCTGATCGATGCGACGCACAGAATTCTACACTTAGCCTAGCCTATAAATAAGGTCCTGGTAACTGGTAACCATTGAATTCATTGAATTGCATTCGTAGAGGCAGACAGTTGTTGTACACACCGCTCTCCCGCTGTCGATCGAGTATTTCAAATACTGACGTGGTAAGTTCTCATTTAATTTCATCTAGATTTTCTAGATCTAGATCTAGATCTAGATTCTAGATCTAGATCTAGATCTAGATCTATAGATCTAGAATTTAGTCTTAAATTTACGTGAGACAGGCGACTGGCCTAGAATCTATATTATAGATCTCTAGATCTAGTACTCTAGGCTAGTAGACGCCTAAATTATCCAATAAGTGCGATCAAACTAGTAACTAGACTACGCTTTCGTCTCATTGAAACCTAGCGACCTAGATCTAGAGTCTTGAGTCTAGCCTACACACAGACTACATCAAGTGCAGAGAAATTATAAATGAGATTAGGCTTATGCTAGCTTACATACTCTACTCTGAATAAAGACCATTAAAATATGTCATAAACTAATAATTTAAGGAGTACGGATACCAATTTAAGTCAGAAATTATGTCTGAATATAAAAAAATGTTCTACACAGTAGTACCTGAGCATGAGGTAAAATACGGATAGGCCTAGATCTAGATCTACGGGTAGACAAACTCTTGATGCTTTATACTTTATATATTGATCCAGTTCAGTCACTAAAGATCTATGTAGCTTTACTGTTTTGAAAGCTACCATTTCGGCATATATGTGGATACTGGCAGAACTAAGGCTAGGTACCAGTAAAACCAGGAAACTCAATTCTGTATACAATATATAGGCTGTTGCTCTGCCTTGGGACGGCAGAATATGGCCCTGATCAATGAGTTCAAAGTTAATTAAGCTGTTAAAAATGGAAACTTTTTTTTCACTATTTATGTAAGCCTTATTTGATTTCTGCTTCATAAATTTCATTAATGATTTAACAAAGTGAGATATATCATCAATAGATCATTCATTGCAATGAACATAAAATGGAAAACAAATACACACGTACGTGGCGTGGAGTCAGTTACAAACTAAATCTTCAGGACCACTAAATTTTCTTTGGTTTAGCCATGTTTTCAGTTTAGAAATGGTTCCTCAAATAGAAGGAAAACAATTAGGAATTTTATTTTCTACAGTTTTCAGATTGTGATTAGTTTAAGGGAGCTCCTTAACATGTAGCTGATTTTCAAATCAGATGTGTTCTTATTCCATTCCAGGCCAAAATCATATGAGTAATTAAGGTAGGCCTAGATTTATTATAAAAAGTAATGATTACATGTATTGTGGTTTAGTTTGCTTTTATGTGTATTGCGGTGCAGTAATTGTTATTATGGTGCAGTTTGTACTCCTGATAATAACAACAACAAAAGTTGTAAATCACACCATTTATTTAAATGCAGTGGTCATTTGAGCTTGCAAAGTCCTAGCCAATAGCAAATTTCCAGAGAGAGAATGTTGAAAAAAAAACCCTTCATATTATTTTATGAGATCTTGTTAACTTTTGAAGGAAACCATGAGGTTGAAGTTAAAGATATATCACAAGAAGAGAGATACAATAACGACGGATAGGTCGAATACAGAAGACTCGAAATCACACATCCGTCGAAATGTGCCTGCGCGGTCCCATTTTTTTCCTTCTTTATCTTTGTAAGATATCTCTCGAACTACGGATACCTCGAACTGTCGAGGCTGGCCCCAATGAATTTGAGCTATCCAGTTGTACTGTATACATAATAGTTTGTTAGATCTTTGCTGCTGCTTCCACCGTGACAATGATAGTTATCAACACACAATGCATCATGATCATGTAAGTTTTGAATTCATCATTAATGCAAAATAACACACGATGATACAACATGCTCACTCGCTGAACTTTACAGGGCTGGATCAGAGTGTTTAATTGTAGTCTAGTGGACAGATAACACATACATATTTTATTCATTCATTTATAGTACCAGAGAGATTATAATTTATTAGCCTTGCCAAGGCTTTATACTTCAAGTACTGTATACATGTACTTTAGTAGGCTGTCACATTCTGCCGTTTAGAAATTTAATTTCCCCATACTGTCCCTGACATCCAGATTACTATCATTCAAGTAATTGTTTATAATATAATAATAATTTTTATATATATATATATATATTTGTATTTGTCTGTGAGTGGTGTTGAGAATAGGGGTATATGGGTATGAAGTGAATCAGAGAGCTTATATTGTTTTTAAATTGAATGAAAATGTTACATGCATACTTTTCATTAATAGTATAGGCCTATTTATGGTGGAAGTTGTGAAAGTGTGACGAGTGTAAATTTGAAAAAGTGAAACGAATCGCTGCTAAAAGTGGAGTAATATTTTTGTAAGAAAGTGTTGAAACTGTAACTTAGAGAAGACATATAGAATTTGTGAGACAGCGTGGTGAAGTCAGGCGCTCGCCAAAATAGTGAAATTGAAGAAACCGGCATTGTTCTGTCAATTTTACAGTTTTTAATCGAATTTTTAATTTTTGGCTCAACAACCTTTATAACCATTTGAAAACAAATTTCTTTGTCAATTTCACTGAAAAACGTTGATTTAAGGCTCAAACTTTTTAGGCTATGGAAGTTACCTAGCTTTGGTGACCTTTTCTCGCTAATTTTACTTCTGAAACCTGGCGACCCCCACTTCATTCAATTGCAAATATCTCGACTTCTATTCAAGATAGATAGGCATTTTAAAAATCGAAAGCAAGGCAAGTGAATAAGCTTTCAGATGATACCAATAACCCACATGCCCAAAAATTGACGAACGCCTGCTTCCACCGTGTCATGACACATTTGCTTTCGGAAGTGTACAGTTAAGTGCCAGCTGTGGTTTATAAAAGGAAATTCTTGAACTTGTACCTTGTATTCAGCATTGTGTCTTCGTGACATATATAGATCTAGTTCAGATCATGTTCCCTATTGCTTCCTTTGAAATTAATATTGTAGAGATGTTTTTCTCCTGTTTTTAAAAACTTTTTTTCTATTCAGATGCGTAGAACTTAACTCCTCATCTTCAAGTTAGTGGATAAGGACGAATGAAAGACTTGCACATCTGAACACTATGTTTGTCACAGACCCATTGGCAGGGGGTAATATGAGAAGAGTAGGAGGGTTACATTATGTCACAAATTGTTAAAATAGGAATTTTGATTAAAAGCCTACACTTGTAGAAAAATGCTGAAGCTGAAGAAGGAGGATGTAAAATCTGTCGAGGGGCTGTTGGTACATTGCACTTTTTAATTATTAAAGACTAACTCGAAAGTTGAGAAAAGCAAGCCTTCCCAAACTGGTTACTCTATATAGAAGGAAATTCTGATTCATACTTTATCTGAAATGGAAGAACCTCTGATCAGCGGAAATCTTTAATGAGAACCTCAGGAAATTATAGGCCGACGTAACCACTAAAATATGAGTGACATATTTTCTTTCCAAATGGACCCCCCCTCCATCTTCCTTTACCTGAACATCAGTTGGGCTACACTGTGGAATTATCCAATACAGAATGCAAAAGAAGGTCAGAGAAAAAGCAAAAATACTTGCTCTGTCATATTCTTTTAAATCTTATAAGAGAGTCATAATGTTTCCCCAAATCTCAGTGGCTCGCTTTTCCATTATTCTTGAGCTTTAAATTAATTTCATACGATTCCTGTTTATTGCTTTTTTTCCAGGGGGAGGGGGGGCACATACATTTTTTTGCCTCTTGGATCTTTCTAGCTTTGTAAGCTCAAGATTTTTATTAACAAGGAAGGCTTACATCAAAGGTTTTAATGCACTGTTTTATCGTACTTCTGTTTATTTTCAGGTAATCTCTGGTCATCTTCTGACAAAAATAAATGGATCAAAGGCACCAAGGAGGCAGCGCTGTGTTTTGAAATTGAAGGAAAATAGACCATGTGTTACTAGCCAATGTTATGTCTACATTACACATTAAACTTTTTATGACGAAAGGCCGGTGCACACTGTTTGTTTCTGAGAGTAAGAGACTGATTTTGGAGTAGTGCCAAATGTTCCAGAGACTTATGAGACTTCCAGAAAAAAAGTGGTAATGGAAAAGAATAACAAAGGCCCCAGGATGTTTTACAGAAATGCCTATCATGGAAGGGGGAAAGGTCAGAATGCAAGTCACAGAGGTGGACGTTGGGGGTCATCATACGGTGCTGCTTGTCTTTATGAAGAGCTAGGAGGACAAGACCAGAGTGTAAACCACCAAAGAGGAGGATGGAGAGGAGGAGGAAGGGGAGGAGGAGGAAGAGGGAGAGGAGGAAGATTTGATCAGGCTGGTTTTCGTCTAGATGTAGGGCCTGATGACTTTGAAAGATTGTCAAGGGGACAAAGAAGAAGAGAATGGGGTTCGTTTGATGAGATGGAACCAACTGGAGAACAAGGCTGGGCTAGAGACCATTGGACGGAAATAGGATGGGGACCATTTGTCAAGACTGGCCCCAACCAGGAAGGAGGATGGGGTGGAGGTAGAAGTTTTGCAAAGGGAACAGGACAAGGAAGGGGTGGCATTGACCCAAGGGGACGAGGACAGGGATCATCTGACGGAGATTTCCGATGTCAAGAGAGACGGAATAGTCAACCCTGCTGCAGAAGTTATTCAAAAAGTACAAAATCTGCAGAATATGCTGTACGCCGTGATGAGGCTCTACCCCGTTCTGCCTACATTTCTCAGGAAGTCAATCGGTCTCCCTCGTCTTTGATGCCACCTGCTACAGTCCAAAACCTCTCCAAGGCTTCTGCCGGAGACAAGGAGTGTATTACACAGAAGAGAGGAAGATGGAGAGGAAAGTCCAATGACAAAAAGTACAAGGACAATGGTTTTGTTGGTGGTCAGAGTCACAGTTGTGTGGACCTTTCCACTGTGGGGCAGAGGCAGAGTAATCCTGAGGGATGTCAGAGAACATCGAAGGTAAAAGATAGTGAGCCAAACAGCTCTCAGAGGATGAAGACAGAAGCTAGTTTGCAAGTCAAAGACTCTTTTACAGATGCAGAAAGTGTCAAGAATGTTATCCTAGAAAACTTTTCAAAAAGGGAGAACTTGGAACTGGAATTTGTGGAAGACAGTATCGTGTCTACAAGAGAACGCACAGCATGTTCTGTTATACTTTACCACAGGGAAAATCTATCTGGAGGGTCGGTATTTGCAGAGTTATGCAAAACAATGAAAGATAAAGTGAACACTGAAGTCACATATTATATTTCACGTACTTACAAAGAAGATGGCGTCAAGAACACTGACTCTGAAAATGAAGAGAGTGATAATTTGGACGCCTCACAGAGCGCAAAGACTATAACGTATAAGAATAAGAAACGAAGAAGCCGACGGACAAGTAAAGTGAATGCAAAAGGGGATGTCAATACTGATACTTCTTCACAGAACAAAAGTGGACCTCCAGCTAAACCTGTGCCATCTCCTGTACCGACCACTCTGAGTATTCGTATTGAGAAAAGTTTCAAGGATACTGACTCTGTCCGACAATATCTCCTTGAAAAAATTGAAAAGGAGAAGTATTCTTTTGAAATTGTACCGAACAGCATTAATATCCACAAGTTTGAAACTTATTGTGAATTGAAAATGCCCAGTAAAGCTGCTGCTGAGAGGTTAAGGAACCTACTGAATGGCTGCAAAGAAGTGAAAATTTTTAATGGCAACAAGCTGAAGAAAGCTATAAGTGATGCTCAGAGAAACAGTATGAAGCGGGAAATTCAGAGTGCATCAGCTTTGATTTCTTCTCATCTTACACAGCATGATGAGAAAATCAAGAAGTTTGAAGACTCCATAGCTAACTTGGAACGAAAATCTGGCAAGCATCTTTCATGCAGAAGTGAAAGTGAAAGTTTGGCTTTGAAAGACAAACTGGAAGAAGCAGCGTGCCAGAAAGACACATTCCAGGAACAATGTACTAAGATGATTAGCCTGTTAGAAGATCTCAGTACATCAACAATGTCTTGTGAAGATCAGTGGACTAAGCTGCTTCGTTCTATTAGCATTGAGTGTAAGAAGCTGTCAAATGCCCTGCCCATGTATGCTCGCAGGAATGACATTCTTAATGTGATCTCTGCCAACAAAGTCTCTGTCGTGCTCGGGGAGACTGGCTCAGGGAAAAGCACACAAATGGCTCAATATATATATGAGTCGGACATTAATGGAGAAGGTATGATTGTTTGCACACAGCCAAGGAAGATAGCTGCTCGCACTCTCGCTGAAAGGGTTGCCTTTGAACTTGTGAGCAAAGTTGGGAATCTGGTTGGGTACAAAACAGGTGCTCAAAAATGTATGGGGCCTATGACAAAGATTGTCTTTACCACAGATCATTCGTTGCTCAATGAGTTCCTGAAAGACCCTGATCTGCGCGCCTACTCTTGCATCATAGTTGATGAGGCTCATGAACGAAGTATTTACACAGACATTTTGCTGGGCATGATCAAATCCTGTTCAGAACGGCGGCCTGAGTTGAAAGTTATCATTACTTCTGCTACTATCAATCCAGAGATTTTCATCAACTACTTTCCAAACAAGCCAACTTTGCTTCAAGTCTCCGGGAGGACTTTTCCTGTCAACGTGGTTTACGAGAGTGCAGATGAAACCCAAGATTTTGAAAACATAGAAGAAAAGGCAGTGTCCAAAGTTGTGAGTATCCATAAGAGTAAAGTACCAGGAGACATCCTTGTATTTCTGACGTCAGCTGTTGAAATAATGCGTTGCTGTGAAGAAACTAAAAAGAGACTGAAAGATCCTGAGAAGTATCGATGTTTACCTCTTCATGGTCAGCTTCCCGCAGAAGAGCAACAGGAAGTTTTCAAACAGCTTGATGTCGGGGTGAGGAAGATTGTCTTTGCAACAAACTGTGCAGAGACCTCAGTGACGATTGATGGAATCAAATTTGTCATTGACCCAGGCGTAGCCAAGGAGATGAAGTATGACCCCAAGAAAAACATCAGCCTTTTGGGAACTCACATTATTAGCCAGAGCTCAGCCAATCAGAGAAAAGGAAGAGCTGGTCGCACAGCCAGTGGCACCTGTTACCGCCTGTACACTGAGCAAAGCTTTCTTTCCATGGCAACCAGCTCTGAACCGGAGATTCTCCGTGTTCATTTAGGACAGGCTGTTTTAAAACTGGCAGAACTTGGTGTTAATGCCAGAAGCTATGACTTTGTGGAGCCACCAAGCAGAGAAGCTCTTGACACTGCTGTCAGCACTCTGAGAGAAATTGGTGCTTTGCTGGGTGATAGCATTACTGAAACTGGTCGGTTTATCTCTAGATTACCCTTTGATCCTAGACAAGGACTATTGGTGTTCCTTGGACACAAGGACCATTTACTGTACGATGCTGTTGTAATTGCTGCGTTACTCAGCAATGGCTCAGACATATTTTACAGGGGACTCACTGACGTGGAGGAGCAGAATTCAGCTAGGAATAAGAATCAGTTTGCTTCCCAGTTTGGAGATCCTTTCACCTGGTTCAACGTTTACAAAGAATGGTCCTCTGCTCCAAAGAAACAGCAGTCAGCATGGTGTAAGGAGCACAGCGTCAACAACAAGGTGATGAACTACACAAGACAATGTGTCAGAGATGTTGCTGATGTTTTGCGTAAAGAGCACAGGATTCACATGGAAGAAAACTTTTCAGACTCAGAGACAGCTGTAGACCGCTTAAGGAAGATGATCTTCACAGCAAACCTGTCAATGGTTGGCCATTTTCTGGGTCATCAACGGGCTGGTTACTATGCCACCGGGATTCAGCGCCAGGTGCATTTTCATCCTTCGTCTTCTTTAATGAGTCAAAATGCATATCCAGAATGGATTGTATACTCACAGTTTGTCAAGACGTCTCGAGACTTTATCAAAGGCATCACTGTCATCGATGAGGCATGGGTTCAGGAATCTGTGAATGAAAAACAGTTGGCGATTGATATTGCTGAGGTCAAAGGAAAGCAAGCACGCCTTGTTCACAGAGAGGAAGCTGGAACAATTGTCTTCAGGGCTCTGGTCGGGCCACGCTTTCAAAACCTGATGGTTCTGGAGGGCTGCTTTGTGAAGGTTGGGATGGAAACTGTAGTTGTAGAAGCAAACCGTGATCTCGGAACTGTAGATGTTTTTTCATCTAGCCCTTGCAACCAACACGTCATTACAATTTTCAACAGCTACAAGAAGATGACTCTTCAGGAACTGCAAAGTCGAGAGCAGGAATTTTCTGTAAATAAATCATCTAAGAAGGAGCAAGGTGGGTGCAGAGTGATGCTTGGACAAGGTGCTGAGGTCAAATTAGTTCTTATGCCTGGACAAAGCACTAAAGTCTTGATAAAAAATGCTCCTGACACAAGCACTGTGGAAGATGTAAGGGACATATTTTCTGTATATGGTCAAATAAAGGATTGTTTCCGTTTCAAATGTGAAGATCCTTGGGGTCTGGTTCGGTTTGCTACCTGTTCAGAAGCAGAGAAAGCTGCGAATGAAACCAAGGATGATGAAGTGAACACTGCAGTGTTGTTGAAAACTGATGGGCAAAGGCAGCAGAAGGCGCCGCAGTTTCAGGCTCGTCTTTCTTGGTACCGACGACCTGTGAAAGGAAGAGGCACAGCATTCATCAAATGCCAGGCCGATGTGAAAAAGTGTCTTCTTTTTCAACCAATACTACTGAATTTGGGAACATGTACAATCAAAGAGAGTAACAAAGGTGAGGATTTGGTTGTCTTCAATACAGGGCACACTTCAGAAGATATTATCAAAGACAGAATTTTGGAGTTACTGAGACGGAGAGGTAAGATTCATAAAAGTCTGGAGGATGAAATTCGTGTTTTTGTTGTTCGGGAAAATAAAGTTGCTCCAACAGAAGAAGAAATGAGTATGCTAGAAACTGCAGTGCTCAGTAAGTTTGATATGCACCTCCAGTCTCGCTGGGACACATGCACTGTTGACCTGAAATATCCAAGGGATAAAGACGTCAAAACAAATTGGCTTTGTATATTTCAACAACCCAGTGTCTGGCTTCCGTGCATGTCAGCGTCTACAAGGCATCCTCAGTGTGGATGGTCAACCAGTAGAAATAAGCCCCAAACTGAAGACAAGTATCCATATTCCACGCAAGATTATGGAAGCCAGCAAGCTCCGATTTGTTGATCACATTCAAGGCTTGAAAAGATATAAAGCAACTGAGGTGACAATTGTGCCTCTAAAGCAAGGAGATTTCCGGTTAGACATTTCTTCACCGAAAGCCAAGTGCATTGTTGTGGCCAGAGAAGTCTTTCAGACTGAGCTAGAGGGAGATGTTATTGAGTGTGGGAGGTCTGCACTGCTTGAATGTCTCCTCTCACGGCAGGGACTCCAGGAAGTTCACAAAGTGGAGGAATCAGCTGATGTGCTCATTGTTGTTAATCAAAGGGAAAAACAGCTGCACTTCTATGGTCAGGACGAAAAAATGAGCAAGGCGAAAATAGTCTTAAACACGTATCTGAGCAGACTGGCTGATGGGAGAGAAGAATGCATTAACCTGAAAGGCCAAACCCGCCCTCCAGGTTTGATGAAAGCACTGCTGCTCAAACACGGACATACACTGGACGGACTTCAGAATGAGTTCCAACTAAACAGTGTTAAAATTGATTTTAAACTTCAAAAAGTCTCCCTTGCAGGGAAAGATGAAGCTTTGAGAAACTGTATTATGAGTATTGAAGAACTTTCCAGAGATATTGCTGAGCGCTCAAATGCACAGTCTGACACGGAGCTGCCCGACTGTGTGGTGTGCATGTGTCCAGTGGAGACCAGCTCTGATCTGTATCGCCTGGAGGGTTGTGGACACGGGTATTGCACGGTGTGCATCAAGCTGCAAGTCAGTGTGTCGGTGCAGGACAAGCAGTTCCCTATGTCCTGTGCCCGCGAGGGATGTGGCCAACTTCTGGTTTGGAAAGACATTGATTTTTTCCTCAAAAAGAAATGGATAACAGGGGACAAACTTGTTCAGATGGCTCTGAATGCTTATGTAGAGCAACAGCCTGACAAATACAAGTTTTGCTCCACTCCAAACTGCCCTGTTGTGTATGAAGTGACGCATGAGCCGCAAGGTTGTGTGTTCACCTGTCCGTCGTGTTACGCCAGCGTCTGTTCTTCTTGCAACAAGGCTTCCCATGCTGGACTTACTTGTGAGATGGCAAAGAGCTTGAGTAATGCGGAGAAAGAACTGGAACGTTGGACGAAGGAAAACCCAGGGAAACGCAAAATCTGCCCTGGATGCAGGGGCCCGGTTGAAAAGATTGAGGGCTGCAACAAAATGCGCTGCTCGTGTTGCAAGGTTATCTTTTGCTGGTTGTGTCTGAAACGCTTTCCTACAGAAAAACTTTGCTATGATCACCTGAGCTCTGCACATGGAAGCTTTTACTAACAGAAGAAAACCAGATTTGTTTTTTGTTTGTTTCCTCAATTGCCAAGCTTAACACATCTTGTACTGACTTGTTCATTTGCTTATCTTTACTTGACTTGAAGTTGAAAACCTTTCTCCAACTGCTGACTTTGGAATGTTGATTTTTCTGTTTGTAGCCTTATTTTTTTCTGAAGAATTTGACCACAAAGTGATTTGATTGTTACAAAGTATTCTTGGGATTTTTTTGTTTACAATGTGTGCTTGAAAGATTTTTTTTGTCTTTTTCAGATGTTGCATGATTGTGGTTGTTCTAAGTGTAAATAAAATGCTAATGCTTTTTATTGTGCTTTCAAAAGACGTGAGTTTATTGAGTACCTGGTACATAAATTTTTCTGCTTGGATGTTGCATTTGAGTGACAAGGTCGAAGTTGCCCACTTTCTATGTGGTGAGGGGGATGTAAAGTGGGTACATTTTTTTCTTAAATCTTGATTTACAGAAATTAATTAGATTTTTAAAGAGATGGCCTGTTACATAACTGTTTTGTTTCTGCCATCTTTTTTTGCATCTACTGCATCATGTAAAGCTCTTAAGACAGATTCTGTCTCAGAGAAGTGAAAACAAGATATCAGTATATCTCTCTGTACATTTACTGTTTTACTTGCACTTGCTTGTGCCTCCTGTTGGTACAGATGGGTCTAAAAACCTTTCATGACATTACTTTCTCTGAGCTAAAAAAACCCAACATCATTCAGGGGATTTTGCCAAATTTGCGATAATCAAGTTCTATTGTTCGTATGTCTTTCTTTTTACCCGCGCTTATTGGTTTTTGTTGTACCACCACGATTCACTTTGTTTATTTATACTTATACTGGTACTAAACTTTACTTTCAGTAGTGTTCGAAAAGTTATACTACGGATGGGCTCAATAGTGCAAAACCTTTGTTGTACCTGTTGTATGTTATTGCTATTCTCTGCTTTTTGCCTTTATTGAATCGGTGGTGTATTAATGATGACTGTAAGGATGATGATGAGGTATTACGGAGTACATGTACTCAAAATCAAATGCATTCCAGTATATTATACAGTGGAGCTGCTTAAACTGCAATTTACGGAACCGTCAGATTTGCTTTGACTTAGCCGGGTTTTCAGTTTAAAGAGGTTGTTCAAACAAAGAGAAAATAAATGAGGATTTTATTTTCTTTCCATTTACCGCTGCTTTAGGATAAACTGTGTTTGGTTTAAGCGGACTACACTGTAATACATGTATATACTGTGATTATTTTCGTATCCTACAGATTAGGGGTGGAGAGAACAATTGCCCCACAGTAAAACAGCAAAAGGTAGAACCCTTTAATGTGTTCAAAACCATACAATGTATTGCTGGATAAGTGTCATACTTCGAAATGACCTGTGTGCGTCTACAAAGGAGTTGGGTTTTCAGTTCATACAACCAACCAATATCCAACTCCCTTTCACCTTTTCCTTTCTTTCTAACTACTTCTTTGGTCTGTGTAGTGGGACAAATGTCCTAGTTGGAAGGAGGGAAAAGTATATACATACAATGTATGTGTGTGTATAATTAATATTATATATATATGTATTAAATATATATGTATGTTTATGTAAAACACGCATCAACACATCCACACACATCATTGTATATCAATGAGATGTAGCTATATTTGCTATCAAAATTAGTAGGGCTACTGTTTTATTTGAATTCAGAATTCCTCTGTTCGAACATTGGATAACGTGTCTTCTCTTTTGATGCCATTACTTGGTTGTGATATTTATTTCCTTGTTATGTACTCTGATGATTCCCAGTGAATGTTTCTGTGATGACGTGAAAGTGGATTGATGCTGTTTGATGTTCCATGCACAACTGTTTTTTATTCTCCAAAAAGTGTATTCCAAACATTTGTTATTTTGGTTCTGGATAGACTTTGATTAAATACATCATTGTGATGTGTGAAAGTATTCAACTTTAACCCCCCCCCCCCTTTCCCCCACCAGGGCAATGCTACTGACTGAAGTTGTCTTTAGGCCATTTCCGAAGGGGGGGAATATTAACAGACATGTTCTTATACTTATGCGCAGTAGAATTGTAAATGGGCTGATTTATCAGTGTCATGCTCATACTGTGCCGGAACAACATACATGTAGGGGAAACTGCTGCTTTTTCTTTCCTCATCCTTACTTTCGTCATTTTTCCTCTCCTTTTTTTTTGTATATTTGTCATTCTCTTGTGAACTGCTCTTTCCGGGGTGCCTTGATGATAGTTGAAGCAGACTTTGTGCTGTTGAGGCTAGACTCCTGATTCCCCATTTAGACTTCTCTGTTGACACCCACCCCTTGGCACTCATATGACCTTATGCAGGTGCGAGTGTTAGAGGTGTTATTGGTGAGTAACATACATCATGTATGAAGAAAAGGAGAAGAGATATAAGGACGATAGGTGTCTGATAAGAAAGAAAGAGCAGACCTCACCAGAGCACATTCCAGTCACCCACCTATATTCAACATTGAGTGAAATTTCTGTTTAAAAGGACAATTCATTTTTCTTGTAATAAAGAGGAGAACAGGCCAGGCCCCCTCACACTAAAACACATACAGTGCAGCCTCTCAATAACGACTTTCGATATATATATATATATATATATATATATATATATATATATATATATATATATATATATATATATATATATATATATATATATATATACACATATATACATACATATATATATATTCTTACACCCACACACACACACATTGACATACAGACACACACGCTCATGCACACACACGCACACATAGACACACACACGCACACACACGCGCACATATATACTTTTGTAATCATTGTTGTCTGTGGAATGTATCCCTCATATTCAGGGTTGGCCCTGATCAGATACAATGTTTTAAAAGCCTGCCTCCTAAGTCACCAAAATTGTGATGAGTGGGACATAACATAATATGTTTCAATCACTTATAAGAATTATTTACCAGATTTGATTGTATGAAGAGAATGTCAGGTTTATTATATATCATTGGCCAACTGTTTAAATGTTCTGGGCCCACAATATTGATACATTTTTGTTTTGTAGTTTCTTAATTTGTGGTATCGGTTTCATGTACTCAAGAAATATTGCTTACAAATTTAAATTTTAAATGTTGAAGCCCCCCCCCCCCCTCCTTCCACGTAAATACATAACGTACGAGATGTGTACTATTGTGAAAAAAACGAAATAGTTTTTTTCTCTCTTGCAAAAATTTCCTTTCTGGGCTTAGTGCATTTGTACCGCGTGCTGACGATATGCTTCTTTTAGTGCGTTTTAATGACTATGAAAGATACCAAAATATTTTAAGGAACGATTAGTATTGTGTTGTGATGTGATCTGTTTCCATGTTCGGGAATGTGATACTTATTTCATTAGCTCCAATGTTTGTGTTTTAGCGTATTTTGTTGCATTGAAGAAAAGGAATTTTCAATGCAGATTCTTTTTCTTCGCTCACTCACATTTGATTTTGTTTTACTGACACTTTTTTTCTGCTAGATTGTCTTTTATTGAATGAATTATAATGCAGACATGATTCTCTGAAATCTTACAGTCAGCTTGTGAGCCCTATCATCTCATTACTACATGCACCCCTTACTGTGTATTTTTATAATAACGTTAAACTATAGAATGGAATTTCAATTAAGGACAAAACGGTTCTACCATTTGACCTGTTTGCATAGAATGGGATATGAAAGTTATTTCATGTTCTCCAATGTTTTTCTTGCCAAGTATTATGGTGATTTGACACAGTGGAAGGGAATGTTCAATGTGCTTTTTCCCCCCAATATTTGTTCACTTTTGTTTTTGCTATGTTTTATTTTATTTGATGAGTTATGATGCAGACATGGTGCTGATTTTTGGTTCCCTTTTTTAAATGTGTGGTCAAATAATGTCCAGTAGCATGTGAACTGTTGTTCATCACTGTGGATTTTTTTTTTGGCATGAGTTTATGATATTCTCCAATGATATCCGGTGGTCAAGTGGTGAGGGATTTCAGGCTAACAGTAAATTGCTACCTCAGAATTACAAAGTTCTATCTGACATTTTAAAAAAATGTTTTGAATTATTAAGACAATGAGGTCAGAAACCAAATGTTTTATCTGCTCTATCAAAATGATAATATTAGTCGGAGTCGTTGTCAAGATATATTCAAAGAATTGCATTCGAAAAAGCTTAACATATTGTGAAACTCAACATTTTTTAACGTAAAATTTCTCAAAACTATAGGTACTGAGCAGGTAAAACTTTGTCATTCTAAGGAAGCGAAATATCTGGGATACGTCGGTGACACAATACTTAGGTGGATGTTCACTAGAGTGTGTCTTTGAACAAGTCTCTCGATAACCCTTGCTCAATAATGGGGTGCTGCACAGTGGCGATCAGCAATGGCGTGTTCGTAGTATGTTATATCCGTGTGTTTTAGTTTGTATGTATTCATCTATGTTTTATGTTACGCAGTTGTAGACTAAATTTCCTCACGGGGATCACTAAATGTGAATTTTATTTATTTATTTAATTTATTTATTTAATTTATTTATCTACAGTTCAGCATTGGTAACACAATCATGTCCAAGATTGACAAATGTGTCCTACACATTCATAATTCGGGTTAACCGATAGCTATTTAAAAAGATATCAAATGGGTAATGGTAAATTGAACTAAATTGTATGTCCGTAATTTCGTGATTTCGTTGTTTCGTCATCTGTGCTCGACTGTATCTCTTTTTGATTTATTAGTTCCAATATTGCCATTTGTGAGAGAACTTCCACACTGTCCTTGCCCGTTGTGTCATTCCCCCTCCCCCCCCCCCCCATCCCTGTCTTGCTCACTTATTGTAATACTAATTTTAATACCAAGGCAAAAGCTTATTGAATGCAAAATGTGTTGTATTCAGTTTCGTTGGCCTCTAGTTCTCAAGTATTATATTTGTGATCTGTCATCATCATAGCTTCTATTGAAGAATTATCAGTGTGTTGAAATTGTTGCTTTTTTTCTTCTTTTTTTTTTTGGGTGCCAATAAAGAAGTTTATTCTCAAAAGTAGTTTGTTCATCTCTGCATTTTTACGGCTGGTTGGAGGGCGCCACTGGTAGGTCATAACTGTATAACACAGATAGCCCGAATTCGTCAGGACTCGCCTCGGTAGTTCAAGGAATGTGTTACAAAAAGATATTGAAGAAAAAACAAATAAAAAACAGGACTGCAGGCGTAGTTGACGGATGCGTGATTTAGAGTCTCTGTGTTTGACCTATCCGTGTTATTCTGTACTTCTTTACTTTCCCTCTGTTGTTTCTGTCTCTCCGACTTCTTCCCAGCACTAAAAGGCCATTGTTGTGTCAATGTGCTTCTTTTTACTCAAACAATCTGCGTTCTTTTATACTGTATACTGTTTCTTCCAACATATGCTTGGGTGATTAGAATGTTTTCTGTTGTGGTTTTCTCTTTCTTACCTATCAAACATCTATCGTCCTTACCTCTCCTCTTTCTTTTTTTTTTGTGGTGTTTTTAGTCTCTTGCAACACCTGTAACTCATTGACAATGCGAATTCTAATCAAACCCTTGAACTTGAAGACACATTTTTACCGGGGGGGGGGGGGGGGGGGGGGGGGGGGAGGAGGAAGCATCTAAACAAAAGAAAAATGAAACAACTTCTTTATTCATACAAATTAAAATATTAAACTCTGTTTGCTTTATATGAAATGTGAAAACGCAGGCGTCAGCTTGCATTTGTGACATACATGTATTATGCAAATCAGTACTTTTGATTTGTATGATGGTTTGAAATGTCCCGCCTGCATTTCATAGAAAAACTAAATAAAATGGTTTGGCCACCTCTTATGAATGTTATCCAGCCAGCCAGCTTCGAGATTCTGTAACACCAAGTACTCCCTCGAGAGTGTGTAACACCAAGTACTCCCTCGAGATTCTGTAACACCAAGTACTCCCTCGAGAGTGTGTAACACCAAGTACTCCCTCGAGAGTGTGTAACACCAAGTACTCCCTCGAGAGTGTGTAACACCAAGTACTCCCTCGAGAGTGTGTAACACCAAGTACTCCCTCGAGAGTGTGTAACACCAAGTACTCAAAAGAAAAGGTAGGCCATTCAAAAGATGGATTGAAGGGGTCAAAGAAACCCTGAGAAATTATAATATCCCAATTGTAAGGGCTGCAGAGCTGGCCTACCATAGAAAAAACTGAATCTCCCCTCGACGCTTAGGCTACCGGACTCGTAATCGTGAGATTTCGGGTTCGGGCTTCCGGCCTCAGTTCGGTCCGACGTTGTGTCCTTGGGAAAGGCACTTTACACGAATTTCCCAATTCGCTCGGTCCTTTCGGTGATGGATGTTGAATTCAAACTCTGAATCAGAGCTCCATCCTCTTAACTTTTAATAGGGGTGTTAAACCTATACCATTTCACCATTTTTTCACTGTTAACAAGTTCGGGTAACTACATTTTAACGTGTTTTGAACAATTTTGTCACGTCAGAGCCAACACTCAGATCCAGTTTCTATTGATAAAGAGTGCATTGGTTTAAAAAATGACAGAAACTCCTTGCACTGGTGACCAAAGTAAATAATGTCATCACAAAGCATGAACAAAGGAAAAGAACAGAAAATACTGACTTAGAATTTTTGTTTTGACGTTGACAAGTACAGCTAACCAAACTCAGAACTCAGTGATGTCGAAGTTATCGATTTCTAATTGTCTTGTTTTATGATCGGAGATTCTACTTCTTGTACGACTTTCATAATTTTATCGGTATGTAGAAGTTTCACATCAACTCGACTTAATTCCGAACTTTTCAGTTATGCCAGTACAGCAATAGCTTCATCTCTTTCTCACAATGTTGTACGGATAACTAGACAGCTTTCTTTTTCTCACAGAAAAAAAAGAAGATGCAACGTATCATGAGAACAAAAGCCTTTGTAAATATGATCACATAGCCTGTTTTGTTTCATCTTGGAAGCACTCCCATGTCAAAACACTTTGCATGCCGTTAACAAGCTTTTTAACAATTAAAGACTTGAGAACAACAAGGTGAAGTCACACATTTTCCTAAATATAGAGTTATGTAAATCATTTGAAAGCGGCGACAAAGGGCTATTTATTAATAGTACTGAGGAAACACTATTCTGTTCCTACGCCCAGTTATTCTAGTTCAAAGATGCAAAGCCTAAATGCAACAACAAGGTTAACCTATGTCCAGAAAAAAATTCTATTTAATCCCTCTAATCTAAACTTACTTATATATTTCATGAATGAGGTTTTAGCTTATTTTTTCTAAATCATTTAAATATGACTTGAACTTGGTGTTGTCCTCGGGTCTTCAATTCTAAGCCCATACAAAGCAAATTTTTTTTAAGGCGAGAGGAAAAAAGTTTCAACTAAATAAATTGCACCTATACATTATATATTTTTCTAGCTTTTTTCAACTTTTAAATTTGAATTTGGTTGGAATCTTTCTCTACCATAGGCAACTGATTAACAGATTAATAAAGAAGCTTCATATCGTAATAAATTTGAAATTATATTGGGATTATTACACCTGAACAGTTAGCCGACAATGCACTATTAGATGAAAGCAACTTCGTTTTACTTCAACTTTAATCTAAAGTTGTGAGAATCAAACTTCCATATAGTGGAATGAGATTAGCATGCGAATTATATTTTGTCACGTAATGTGTAACAAGAAAAACCTGCTGTTCAGTACCGTACACCTACAGTGGGGAGAGTAAAGAAGTTTTTGGAATTTTTAATGAAAGGTTTATTTTTCATAATCTATCTAGAATAACATGTACCGTATAAAAGGCTGTCCTTTTCATTTTAACATTCGCATCGAAGCCTGGAGTAGAACCATTTCTAATTCAGTCACAAAAGAAATAGATGTATGCATGGCAAGTTTTCCTATTATTAGATGAACAAGTCTAGATAAACAGTTTTTTATCTGTTTACCTCAAAAGTAGCAATAATGAGAAGTGTCATTTTGCTAGTCCAGAGATGATCTGTACCGCCTTCCTTTAAAAAAGGTTCTCAAAATAAACAGGCATTATACTGACATAAGACCCACTCACATGTTTATTTTGTCAGCATAGAACTGAACATATTACATGAAATTATTCTTTTTTTTTTGCAAGTTTCAACTGCAACACTGCCCATGTGGTTCATACTTGACAAATCAGAACTCAATAATTAGTTTCAGGCAATCAACATGTTTATTTTAGTAAACATATAAAAAGTGGGATGAACAAATAATATGAGACTTGAGTTTTTCGCTGTTGCACGAGACTGATCCCCAGATCCCCATCTTTCCCCTCTTCCAACACATACCAAGCAATGCGAACTTGTTACAAAGGGGAAAAAAAGAAATAATCAGAGGGGGGGAAAAAAGCCAAAACACAAAGCAGTATCTTTTTTTGTTATATCATAGTCCTGTTTTAAATAAGAAAAACAGGATCTCAAATTAACATCAACAAATCAAAAAATGGTCTTTTTTAAAAAAAAACATCAATTAGAATTCACTTTCTAAATAGTGTACTCTGTCTAGTATAATCTAGTAACCTTTTAACTCTACGCATACCAACATGACTGGTACTGTAAGTATTATTATTATTAATCAGTGACATTTACACTTGTTGAAGTTTGAAACTATAAGCAGAAGAAAAATAGACATCACTGAAACCGCAAGATAACAACAATTAAATAATTTAAAAAATTCATCTACAACTGCATGAGCTAATGCACCCCCCTCCCCAACAAACAGAACCAGAACCACCCCCCCCCCCCCTTCCCCCCACTCTAAAACAAATCATTGTCATTTTGAAGTAATGACTGTTTCAGTGAAAATGTAATACATCGTAGGATACATTGAAATCCTGTTGCAGGAAGAAACATATGCATGAAAAAGGATTTTCAACTCCAAGACAAGTGAAGTATATAACTCCATTGAAGAAAGTCTCACGAAAATAAGTAACCCTCCAACAAGTAAAAGCAAAATGCTTGTGCGTTAATAGAGAAAGCATAAGAAATAATATCCTCCAGCAGACATTATGCATTTCTAAACATACCAATAGACGCTGTCATTACAGCCTTACAAAAGTAATGAACAATGAACTTTTATTTTTACTTCTAATAAAAATATTGATACTAGGATTGAAATACCTCTTGCTCTGGAAGTACCCATTATTTAGACACCTAGAATTTTCGGAACTATCGCTAATGAGCATCAAACCACTTGAAACTACAATGTTGATATTTGAGAAAGTCGGAACTTTATTCAAAAAACTAATTTTTTCTTTCGAAAATCATAAATAACCCCTTTTCAACCTCAAGACCTCAATTCTAAATGGTCCGTGCCACATCATTGGTCTATTCGCAACGGTCCTGGGGTGCCCACTGGTCAAGGGACAAGCCAATCTTTGCCTTCACGGGTTCCGTGACCTCTCTCAGTTGCTGGACAACTTCCTGTTGACAGAATCGAGAACACAGGTTCATAATTAATACCGTAGGGGACTTTATATACTACGAGACACAAAAAGATAATTTTCATATCAAGCATTGCAGTGTAAACACGTTAGTTTTAATAAGATTTCACTGCACTTGCAACACAATAAGGTCATATATGTGCCGAAGATTAGAGGTGTTACAAAAGAGTAACCAGAACAAAAAAGAGGAAAGATAAGGACAATAGATGTATGATAGGAAAGAAGGAGTACACCACATCAGAGCACCCGTCAACCACAAACGTGTAAAAACAAAAGAAGATAAAACAATGAAGACAAAGAACAAACCTCATTATTTGTAAAAGTATTCACACAAGATGCAAACCTATGCTTACTTAAATTAAATATTCATGCCAACTAGGAAGGGGGCGGTGGATGTGGGAAGGTCTTTGTTTGCACAGAAAATTATTTGTTACAGCAGGTTCGACTGTATTCAAATCCTGTGAGGAGCTCACTCACGTTGCTCAGTTTGATAACTTCACTGTTCTCCACCATCTGCTGCGGTGTGCTGGCGCCGACGATGACAACATCGATCCCTTCTTGTTGAAGAATCCACGACAAGGCTGCTTTAGACATCTGCACTCCGGCGTTCTGGCAGATCTCTGCCATTTTCTTCAGTGCCTGGGAATTTTAAAGAGAGAAAGTAATGCTTTTTCGTTGGGTTTTTTTTTTCAATTAGTGGGAATGGGTACCCAGCTATAGACAGTGAAAGATCTTGTCAGTTTGTTAGTATTTGAGCGCTTAACCAGTTGCTAGCACTGCATGCTTTCTGGGAAGCTGAGAATGTTTCTGAGGGTTCTATGGTCTGCTTGGGTAATAATACAGTGGGTTAAGCGCATAGAGCTTGCTTTCGCGTGGGAACATGCGCTATACAAATGCTATTTATAATCATTATTAGTCGTACGACCGAAGACTTGAATTTTAACTTGCATTCTTTGGCATGAAAGGACACCTATGTCAAGAACACTGGTCTCTGTCTCGCAAAAAAAACTTATTGTCGAAAAAAGATAAGTACCGTAACAATAAAATAAGTAAATAGGTTTAACGCCCATATCAACACTATTAGATTATGTATGAGGTGTGACCTCCACATTTAATATTTGTCTCTGACGGGACCGAGCCAAATGAATTGACAGCCTTGGAAACTCCACAACCCCAGTCTGGTTCAAGAGTGCCCAGTCTGGTTCAAGAGTGCCCACTCTTGGATTCAAACCTGAGATATTCATTCCGTAGTCCAGCATGATACCAACTACCAAAACTTACAAAAAAACATAAAAACCAAAAGCTTTTCAGTCTGTTTCATGAGTACATGGATGTGAAATATAGAATGAAAGAAAAAAACCCAAACATTTTGATAAAGGTCTATAACACACACATCATTCCAAATTCCAACAAAAAGACTGTTACATCAATTGTAGTAATGTTTACAAGTGACTGCCCCCCCCCCCCCCCCAAAGATTACAGTGCAGCCTCTCTATAACAACCTTCGATATAATGACATCCTCTGTATAGCGACATGCATGGTGCCCAGGTCCCAATTTTTTCCTCTCATATCATTAGAACCTTTTGGTTGCCTCTCTATAACGACAACTCTTTACAACAACATTTTTTCTGGTCCTGACGATGTTGTTATAGTGAGAGGCTGCACTGTATTAAGGAACACCACTGTCAATAACAAAAGATTATAATACTCAACATTATTCAAGTAAAAACATTTTTCAAAGCATAACAAATTGAACTAAATAAAAATTATGCAATAAAATAAGGTAGACAGTGTTAACGTTCAGCAAAAAACGTGAGGCAGCTTGGTGGAATCAGGCTCTCGTCAAAATAATCAAAGTGAAGAAACTTGCATTTTTCCACAGGTTGTGAATTTTTATCAAATTTTTGTTTTTTGGCTCGACACCTTTCATGCCCATGAAAGAACTAATTTCTGTCTGGATTTTTCTGAAAAACGTTGATTAAAGGCACAAAAAATGTAAATTTTCAGTTACCACGGACTGTTACCACAAAGACTACTGAATAAGGTCCAGACTTTCATCAACAGATGTATGAGGAGTATTTTAAGAATTAAGTGGCAGGATAGAATAAGAAATGAAGAGCTGTGGGAAAGGACAGGACAAAAGGATATAGAAGTAGAAATAGGACTAAGAAAGTGGTGATGGATGGGACACACCTTAAGAAAGCCCAGCGGAAAAATCACAAGACAGTCACTGCAGTGGAACCCCCAGGGAGCACGAGGCAGGGGTAGGCCACGGGAAACATGGAGGAGATGCGTGGAAAGGGACATGAGAGAAATGAAGCTCACTTGGAACGAGCTTGGAAGGATGGCTCAGGACAGAGATAAATGGAAGGAGCTTGTATGTGGCCTATACTCTGCCAGGGGTGAAAGGCATTGATGATGATGATGACGGACTATTAAGATAGGAAATAATTAATCTTTGGCGGCCATTTTCTCACTAATTTTACCTCTGAAAACAGGTGACCCCCCCACCTCAATCAATCGCAAATATCTCCAATTGTATTCAAGATAAATGGATATTTTTTTTCATCCAAATAAAGACAAGTGAACATGCTTTAAGATGGTACCAATAACTCTATATGCCCAAAAATTGACGAGAGCCTGATTCCACCACGCAGCCTCACAAATGTATTTTCAGTACACACAGGTCATGACACAGGAGGAACAAAGACACATCCTAAATAAAATTTATAAACACACAAGACTACGACGTACATAACTTCAATTGTACATAACTTCAAGTGTACATAATTTTAATACAGCGGAACTCGGATTCAGCGAGCTCGGACTCAACGAGAACTCGGATTCAACGAGATGAGATAGATTCCCCGTTTTTTTTCCTTCTTTAAATTCAATAAAAATAACCCGGATTCAACGAGCATTTAAATCAGCGGGCTCGGATTCAACGAGGTCGCTTCCAGGGTGAACAGCCCCCGCAATACAACTTTTGGTAAACAATTGAGAGGACAGAGGCGTGTGCATTTGAACAGTCTTTTGTTTGACACAGCTCATAATATACAGGCATTTTAGGCACTACTTATGACTTCTCTTTATACATGACTTGCTCAGTGTCTGTAATTATCTACACAAAACCTTCTGTTTGCTATAACAAACACTCGAATTCAACAAGATTTTAGGTCAGGCCCAGTGACCTCGTTGAATCCGAGTTCCACTGTAATTTGTGATCTCCTCCTCACCTCATCTACCTCCTGTTCAGCACCTTCTTGTCCATGTCGAGACAACGAGGTTCTAGAGATAAAAAAGAACAAAGAAAACAATACAGAGATTTAAACCTTCTAAGACTCAGCCAGCAACTCGCAACCTCAGTGCTTTCTTGTCGTATCTCTGTTTTAAATAAATGTGAAAACTGTTCATAACAAAGAGTGAGCTTAAGAAGGAGTCATATTTTCATTGTTAAAAAAAAGGAGATATGATAAGAAAGAACTGAGGTTGCGTACTGTTGAGGAGCAAAGTGGGCATCTTACACAGTTTCCTTACATTAATATAATGTAAAATATAACACAAAGGGAGAAATGGGAAGTGGCAGTTCGGACAGGTGATTGTCTTATACAGGACGCCGCTATAGCATGTTTTATCGTATATATTGAGCAACAGTATAACACGGATAGCTTAGATTCGTCGGGAACCGCCTCGGTAGTTCGAGGGATATCTTACAACTATAAAGAAAAAAAGAAAAAAAACCCAGGACCGCAGGCACAGTTCGATGGATCCGTGATTTCGAGTCTTCTGTGTTCGATCTATCCGTGTTATACTGTATTAGTTTGGTTTGAAATGTATCTTACATTCTGCGTTCAACATTTAATCCCTACCATCAAGTGCCTGATCTTACATAGACATTGGCAATCATAAATCCCCATTCATTTCTTTGCTATGATGTTCTTAAAAAAAACGTTACTATCATCCTGGTCTTTCCCGTCTTCTATTTAGTTTCAGTAAGATTTTGTCTCTTCCTATTTTGTCTTTATCATTGAGTGTCCCGCGTGCGGTTCTTTTTAAAGCATATCTCATTCCGCATTCAATCATCATCATAATCATCATCAAGTACCAGATCTGCGACTGACATTGGCCATCATGGTTCTCCATTCATCATTTGCTAGGATGCTCTTAAAAATCTACATTACCCTGATCTTTCCCAGTCACCCATCTCTTAAGGCTCTCCAAGTAGGTTGCCCTGGGTCTACCCCTGCCTCGATTGTCTTCAGTTTTGCCAGTGAGAGCTACACGTTCAAGGCCTTTATACTTTATGTCTATTCAGATGTCCCAAAAACAGCATTTGTCTTTACCTGACCGTTTTCGTCACCTGAGCTTCTTCAAGTACTACCTCATTGATTTCTTTTCAATGCACAGAGAAAAGAGAGCATTACAAATATACATCGGTCAGAATAAGTCGTGTTGAACACTGTGTCAACGGAGGCGTAAAACATACATGAAAATAAGATCTTGTTTGAGGACATGCCGTTCTTCGTCTTAGGTGACACATAATGGCGTATCTTGTTGATATAACAAAGTTCAACACCCCATACAAAGTAAATTGTTACCTGTTCCTGTTTCATAAAACTATTGTAGAAGATTTATTAAAGTTATTTCTATTGCCTCGCTTTGAAATAGTCTATATTGTGCCTATCAACTCTTTCACTACGCCGGGCCATGTTCCACGGCAGGTGTTACTCTCAATGCTGGACTGCGAGCACTTCCTGCTGCAAAACCACACCTACTTTTGATATAATCCAAACTGAAATTTCGAGAGAAGAGTGATCGGTGTTAGCAACATGCAGAGATAGGTCATTATTTCCCCTTTATTTTTATATATTATTTATAATACATGTGGTTAATATTGAAAATTCAACTCAAAATCTTTAATTTGTCCGAGGGTAAGCAGAATCAGAAAGTAGGTCACAGACAGGGCCCGGTCCATGAGAGGAAAACCCCCAGGTAGTGAAAGAGTTAAAAAGGTTTTAACTACCACAAAAACAACACAATAACAAAGGTCAAGTCAGAAATTCAGACTTCTAGTTCGGTGTTCAACTTTGCTATCAGCTAAATGACTCAAAGGTCACGAAGTGGGTTGTGATAAAAAGCAAGCACATCAAACGACCGATAACAACGACTACAAATGATAACAAGTACTCAAAAGGTCATTTACTATGTTCACTGTCACATATAACGGTAGACAAAAAGCCCATCTGCATCAGAGGAAAATTAAACTGCAAAGTGCAACATTCTTTCATGACACATAGTTCCGGTTACTTCAAAGATAGGCATGTAATATATATATATACAAAGGTACAAAAATATAGAGTGTCACACATGCCCTGGAAATGCCCTAATGTCTCCGGGAAAAAAAAAGGGGATGGGGACTGCAACCATAGAGACTGCAACCATAGAGACTGCAACCATAGAGACTGCAACTATAGAGACTGCAACTATAGAGACTGCAACTATAGAGACTGCAACTATAGAGACTGCAACCATAGAGACTGCAACTATAGAGACTGCAACTATAGAGACTGCAACCATAGAGACTGCAACCATAGAGACTGCAACTATAGAGACTGCAACTATAGAGACTGCAACTATAGAGACTGCAACCATAGAGACTGCAACCATAGAGACTGCAACTATAGAGACTGCAACCATAGAGACTGCAACTATAGAGACTGCAACTATAGAGACTGCAACCATAGAGACTGCAACTATAGAGACTGCAACCTGGAAAAAATTCAAAATTAATTCCTCCCAAACTGAAAAAGGCTTAAATGTGTCTCGTGTACTCATATGACCTTATGAAGTTGCAAGCGCCATAAAACGCTTACAAAAAAAAAAAACCATGAAAAAAACCAAACCAACTTACGAGTCCTTGGAGAACAGCTTGCCTCTCCTCCTGCCCTCTGGTACCTCGCTGAGGCTGGCGTACTTCCCTGCCAGCAGTCCCTGCTGTAGCGGCGAGTAGGCCAGGAGGCTGATGTCGTACTTGATGCAGTCTGGAATCATGGCGTGCTCCGCTGATCTCCACAACAAGTTGTAGCCAATCTGGGGAAAAAGGCATGGATTTAAACATTTCAGACTGAATATAATAGTATAACACGGATAGCTCGAATTCTTTGAGACTGACCTCGGTAGTTTGAGGGATCAGAAGTTTGAGGGATATCTTACAAAGATAAAAAAGAGAAAAAAAAAGCGGACCGGCAGGCACAGTTCGATGGATGTGTGATTTCAAGTCTTCTGTGTTTGACCTGTCCGTGTTATACTGTATTACTTTGCGTTGGTTACCTAAAAGGATGAAATTTCTTTGGCCACGTTTTTACAATTTCTACTTACTGTACTAAGACAATCACCCTACCACAATATGCCAAAGGCCCAGAAAGTTGTGTCACTAACAAGGCAATCCCCAATGTCCGGATCAGATGTGGGAACAACTTTTTACTAAGACAAATCTCTTCAATCACAGTTCAGGTGTAAATTATATAATGAGATTGCATGACAGTGGAAATAGAAAAAAAAATTAGGCTAATTAGACTGAAAAAAAAGGGAAAATTAGACTGCCATAAATAGGAAAAGCGTTTGCTAACTTACATGTGAGTCCAAACCTCCCAACCCCCTCACAATCAAATAAATACAATTATTGTCATTATCACGGCTAAATTGACTACACAGAAATTTTTATACAGATCATTGAAGTTTAAGACAGAGACCAAGATACATAGACAGAACAGAAGATACCAAAGATTTTGCGAGCCAATTTAGAATTGTTTGAATAAAGAGAAGCACATCAACGAAATAGTGACGGTTTAAGTGCAGGAAAAATATAAATACGAGACAAATGTGAGGCATCGAGGTGAAATCAGGCACTCGTCAAAATAATGAAATAGATGAAACTGGCATTTTTCTGTTCATTTGGCAATTTTTATCAAATTTTTGTTTTTTGACTCAACACCTTTCATGAAGGTCAATTTAAAAACCTATTTCTGTGTGGATTTTACTCAAAAAGGTTAATCTAAGGCACAAAAATGTAAATTTGCAGTTCCTAAGGACTCTAATGCTTTGGAAGTCGCCAGACTTTGGCGGCCATCTGCTCGCTAATTTTACCTCTGAAACTTCTACATTTTGCTAGCAAGCAGATGGGGACAAAGGTAACACAAGAAAACAAGTAGAGGAAGCAGACCACACACTCAAGGGCACCCAGGAACTACTTTTCTAGTGGTTGAAATGTGCATGTTTGTAAACAAGTCACCTTTGTTTCCATAAATATATTAAAAATACAGCCATCCCAACCACAATGATCTGATAGAGTAGAGAAATTGAGATCAGACAGAAGGGTATAAGAATAACAAAAAGGGAGAATCTATCAAGAAGCTTATCATCAGATTGATTGTTTTTGTGATAGATCCCGCCATGAATTATTTTGAAAAGTGACATGTGAGACATCACGCGGAAATCAAACACTTGTCAAAAAAATGAAATCGAAGACAACGGCATTTTTTCACAGGTTAGGCAATTTTTATCAAATTTTTTTTTTGGCTCATCACCTTTTTTGTCCATTTAAAAACATGTTTTTGTGAGGATTTTACTGAAAAATGTTGCTTAACCGCCCAGAAAATGTAAATTTTCAGTTTCCAAGGATTCTCAAGCTATGGAAATCCCCATACTTTGGAGGCCATTTTCCACAAATTTTTCCATTATAAACAGGCGACCCCCAACTCCTTCAATGGCAAATATCTCCACTTCTATTAAAAGATATATATAAGTATTTTCTTCATAGAAAGCAAGGCAAACAAACAATCTTTAAGATGATACCAATAAATCAACATACCCAAAAATTGACGAGCGCCTAATTCCACAGCATTGTGACACACACGAGAGAGTCTTACACTGAGCAGTTGAAATAATTTCTTTTTTAAAGACAAGCAGAGACAGACCTGGTTAACCACTGGTTTCCCTCCAGCCTCCATGAACTCCTTCATGTTTTTGGGACCGTAGTTGGAAAATCCATAGTAGCGGATCCTTCCCAAGGCTACTTGTCTGTTCAGCTCAGCAATCGTTTCTTTTGGATCCTTCACAAAGCTGGGGAAATGAATCTGCAAAAAAACAAAACATAATGCTTAACTCTTTTTCTACCAGGCCAAAATCCACCACCGGCCCAGGGCTTTTCCCTGACCAATTTTTACGCCCCTACCCCGCCAAAGGAAAACGTCAAAACATCCAACTAAACACACACAAACCGTATCTTATGGCCCACCAAACTGAAGGTTAAAAAAAAATCTATCAGATGGCGATACAATATTGAAGATTTATTCCAATTATATTACTTTGGGGTTTCTAAAAGTGATTATGCAACATCGACGGTGTCAAATGGAATCAACAATTTTCCAGCTTTGAAAGGCCATAACTAAAAAAGTACAACAGCATCATTCAAACTTCCCAGGTAAGTTGCCTCAAGTAATGCAAAGAAATGCTGAAAGTTATGTATGTGTACCTAATATAGTAGTAAAAATATGAGACATATACTGAAATTAGGGGAGCGCTTTTTTCTCTCTCATATTTACGTTTTAAAGGGGACAAAAAAAGTGCAGAAATGACTAAAAATTGTCTGTCAGTGCAATATTTTCTTTCGTATCTGCTAAAAGGAAGTCTGTTCTATTATTTTGTAAACGTGGATCGGCCGAGAAATTTGTATCTTTTCATTACAGGATTGGAATAGATAGCGAGCCACTCGAGCCGTATTTTGCGGCTCTCGGTCCAGCGAGGCCAGGTCCACGAGCCGCATTGCGGCTTGTGGTAGGGAAAGAGTTAAGCATCTCATGATATAGAAATAAACAACTAAACTACTTGGAAAGTCAGAAGAATCACTGATCTAGGGGCAGTAAAGCTACACTGCTTGCAGTACAAGTTAAGTGGGTGGTTGGAGGACGCCACTGGTAGGTCCTACTTCTCTACTTTCCCTCTCTTGTTTCTGTCCGTGGGTCTGTCTGGCATTTTCACAGCAATAAGTCATCATTACTACTTTTCAATTCTTATTTCTCTGCTCAAATGCTCTAATAATAATAAATAAAAAGCATTTGTATAGCGCATATCCCCACTCGAAAACAAGCTCTATGTGCTTTACACTACATTATTACCCCAGCAGACCTTAGAACACTCAGAAACATTCTCAGCATCCTGGGAAGAAAACAGTGCAAAAAAGCAGCTGGTTAAGTGCTCAAACACTAACAAACTGACAAGATCTTTCACTGTCTATAGCAGGGTACCCATTTTCATCCGGGTGAAGTGGGAAACATTCGTGTAAAGTGCCTTTCCCAAGGACACAACGTCGGGCCCGCGGCTCTCAGAAAACATATACAGTCCTGGTCTTCTACCATCATCCATCGTTTCAAATTCTCCTGTTTTAGTAAGAGTTTCACAGACCTATGTTATCATTGACACTTTACCCCTCCAGTTCGCCTGAGAGTTACTTATTTATTTATTTGGGGGGGTGGGGGTGGGGGGGTTATAGTGCTTGCAACTGCATACGGTCATATGAGCGCACGGAACACATTAAATATTTTCAGTCGGAAGGAAATTTTGAATTTTGCTTGGGTGGAAGCCGGAACCTTATCTTACTAATTTAGGACCACGAAAGGATCTTTAACATGCCCAACATGCACACTGGACCTCCGAGGTTGTTCGCCCTCATCTGAGAAGGCTAGGTGTAGATCTTTATCACCATTAGATCAGGGGTGTGGCTGAAAGACAGCAGTAAGAAGGAGCAAAGGAGTAGCAGTGGAAAGGCTGCAGAAAGAGTCAGGAGTCCAAAGGAGGGGGACAAAAGAGGTGAGGGAGCGGGAGCAGAAGGTGGAGACGATGAAAACAGGTGAAAGGAGAACATTGTTAAAGAGCAGGAAAGGATGTGAAAGGAGAAAATTTTCCGTCACTATCCAGATTAGAACTTGGGACCTATCGACTGAGAGGCAAGCACCATAACCTCGAGACCACGAGAGTCCCCAGAGGGGGTTTGAGTACCAGCATACTGACTGCTTAGTGTAAGGGTGCCCACCAAGTGGAACCGAGCGTTTCTAGAAACGGAAGAGATTTCCCAACCGAGAACGGTTCCAAGTCGGAACGAGACCACGTGCGGAGCTGCTTCATTCTCAACCGGTTTTTCCCCGGTAGGAATTTTGGAGTGATATTTTTAGTTAACGTCATCTATATAGTTGACAGTAGCTAGGCTAGCCTAGATGTAGATCTAGGTGATCAAAACAGCGTCCGAGAGTCGTACTTCTTTTGTTATGGACGCAATAGCTTTGATGCTTCTATATTGGATGAGAAGAAGAAGGCAGAATTGCAGGTGCTACAGCGTACATAATATTTATCAGAGGTAGATAATATTATACGTATGTTTGGTATTAAACTAGTGTCATTTTTCACGCTGATTTCAAATCTGTCGTCAAAATGAGATTTGATAAAAAACTGGGTCTCTCAAATCCCTCCCGCCTGGAGGTTTTGTCGAATCACGGATCAAATCTAAGTGCTGCGCTTAGTTGTTCCTGTGAACGGACGACACATTGGAAAATTGTGGACACGAATCGTACGCATTCCGTGCGCTTTAGTTATTTTCATACTGAATAAATTAAAATGTAGTTCTACGGACGAGAAACGCTCGGATCCACTCGGATTGAGCCTTAAGACTCCACCATGTGCCATTTTGAAAAGTGACATAAGAAGGAATCTTACAGTGAGCTGTCAATATGCTGTGTTGGGAAAAGGGATGGGTTGAGGGGGGAAGGGGAGTAATTTTTCTATAAGATCCTGATGTATGAGCTAAAAGCAAAGAAGAGTAACTTTTTTGGGGGGGGGATCTCAGGAGTTATCTTTTATTATAGAAGGAGATAAAGACAGAACAAGTAACTGTTGAATAAATAATTGTAAATGTTTAACACCCCCATTGACACAATTCAGATAATTTAGGAGGTGGGTTGTTTCATCCCTGTCTGCCAGGCACGGCTGTTCAGTTTCACTCTCCGAGCGGCGCACTTAGTTGTAGCCCGTCTGACCCTTCTGACCCCTGTGACCCCTCGCGGAAGGTAATAAATCTCGACGCGTTACGCCACTTTCACCGGCCTATCCCTAGATCTGACCGCTCCGCGCGGAAAGGGTACAATTTCCAGAAATTAACTGGAATTTACAGCATAGTACTCCCTTTCTCCATCCCGTAAACCTAGGAGTGTTGTATACCAAATAAAAGCTCAGCATCTCCTCTATAACCCGTAGTTTGAAACCAGTTTCTATCTCGTTTTATACTCCGTTGGGATACCTATATACTACCACTGTTGTACAGCTCTGTGTTATTGAAGTTTTTGGATTTAAAAGAGAATTTTAATAATTCGAACCGACAATTTTTGTTTTAACCTTCATATTTCTTTTTATAAATCTATTCTCTCCATTGTGGTGAAAAATCTCAAGGTAGGAGCTAAATTTCCATGAACTAGCGCACTTTATGTGACTAGTCTAGTGCAACGCTCGGTGCAAAGAAAAACGCTGTGAAGCGAGAACTTGCCGTCAGACTTTCTTGTGTGTTATAGAGCCTTTTAACATCAAAGATGGAACACTCTTATTACATCCACTTTGAGAATTTAAACAAGTAGTGTCGTACTTCTGGTGGAAGAAGTTTAAAAACTAAGGTTTCTAAGCAGCGTCGATTTTTGTGGAAACACTTTAAGTCTGACTTATTGCAATATTATAGACAGAACATTGACAACGACACAGCGACAAGCATTCCAACACTCAGTGCAGGAAATGTGGCTCGCGAATATACACACTACGGAAGCAAATTACAAATGCGGCTTTGAAGTCCGCACAGAAATGTGTAGAAGACAGTGCCTATGTTTGGTCTGCTTACGACGCAAGCATAAACATTAACCAGTGCTCTGTGTGTGCTCGCTGTGTTAAACTTACCAAAAGGTGCCTTAAAGAACGCATTCCTTTGCTTACGGAAGGACACGAGTTGCCTTGTCCGCCCCCCGCTCTTATGGCAGTGGAGTCTGCGAGCATAACGGATACCCCCACCCCAGATGTTTCCTCTGTAAGTACAGGCGATGGTGCTCAGCCCTTTACCACTCAATCCATTGACAGCACATTTACACATACAGACGAAGACTCATTTTACATTTCACCAGAAACTCATATTTTGACATCCACACCTAAAACGAAGACGAAACAGTTCACAGACAGTACCAGCTCCCCATTAGTCAAAAATGAAACGACATTAGAGTCAACACTTTTGAAATCGGACACAGAGCTACTCACGCCGTTAGAAGTAAAAGTAGCTAGATCTACACATCTGATCAGACGAAAGCTTAACACATCACTGACGAAAGGACAGTTGAGGTTCAAAACAAAAGGACTGCCATTAGTGTTTCAAAGGATAGTCACACACAGAATATCATCTGACTTAGCAAGCTCACCGACAAGAAAACGAAGAACAAATATAATTAACAAAGTCAGGCAGTCGGTTGCTGGTAGAAGTAAAAGTGTTTTCCCACTCATTGACAAGACTGTGTGCATTAATCAACAATAGCAACAAGACATTTTGGTCCTACCTCATAAACGTAAGTGTGTTTGAAATTTCAAAGTCTGACTGTGAGCTGAAAATTAAGACTGTAACAATCTGTCGGTCCGTTTATTTTTAATTATTATTTTTTTAACATGTTTGTTTGTAATAATCAATCAATTGCGAACGCCACATTCCCCCTCTTTTAAACAACACTTTCTTTTACTTCTCCGTGATAAACATTATACTGTCGTAAACTACACCTTCGTCTTCATGTGATCATCTGGTTGTTGTTTCATTGACTTTCTCGGCTTTCATAAGAACTGGTGTTGTTTTATGTGTACAAAACATAACATTGCTGGGGAGCCGCTGACCGCGAGGCCGAGCGCCCGCAGGTAGCGTGACCGGGGCGTGACCTCGTCTCGGAGGTCAGGTCGGCCGGCAACTAAGCGATCCTGAGTGGAACAGCCGTGCAGGGTAAGGGACTTGGGCTGAGACTGACAAAGCAGACAGCATCCCAGCAGACTGACGTAGATACTCTATAAGATAAATAACTTCCCCACACGGGCATTTAGTTTTTGTAGTTTTAGTAAGCGTTTAACGGCACTTGCAACACAATAAAATCATATAAGAGCTGAAGATTAGAATTGTTACAAGAAAGTAACAAACACAATAAAGAAGGAGGAGAGATCAGGATGATAGACGTTTGATAGGAAAGAAAGAGCAAACCACACTAGAGCATCCATCAACCACCCGCGCACAGGCATCGGTTACTGTAGACTCTCTGACAGGCATTGACGTCACGTGTTCTCCACGTGGTGGCAAAGTGCCCAAACACTACACCAGAGACGTAGGTTCGGAACATTTGTAGAATCTAAGGATGAACCAGAGCATTCCTAACATAACAACATGTATTATCTTGCTTTACTTGAAGCTTATTAAGTATCTTTGTACAGCAAACCTTTAACAAAGTGTTATCTCCACCATAGAGCACTCAACACGGCACTTCCCAAACAGCAAAAGTCAGCAAAAAGGTCAGAGAAGTTGATAAAGTGGAGGACAGGCCTTACACAAGCCACAAGCGACGCGGTCACAATTCTGATAAAGTCAGAATGCAGAACTTACACACTCTATAGGTCAGACTTCATTATCTTGTGAGAGGAAACTCTGGATACATGTCGTGTTTCGGTCTGTCTCTCTGTCTGTCTGTCTGTCTGTCAGTCTGTCTCTCTCTCTCCCTCCCTCCCTCTCTCTGTATCTCTCCCACCCTACCACCACTCCACCTCAGTTTGCAGCATTTTGTTGATTCTTCCATGTGACTTTTTCTGTGTGCAAAAGAGCAAATTTTTTTTTTCACAGAAGGCCTACGTACATGTACAGTAATGTCCTGTTTTGTTGTGTGTATGCGTGAGTGCACCTAACCTTTGTAACATCCACTGCCATTATAAACAACCGAGACAAATTTCTCAGTGTGAGATGAATAAAGATTGTTATTGTCATTGTATTGTCCATTTACAAATTTGTACTTGTACTTACGTAAAGTGCATAGGGCTGCGTTCACGAGAGAGAAAGCGGCAAAAAATTATTTGCATTATTATCATTATTACTGGTTGTGTCTTTTGACATCTGGCTTTAACACTTTGCAATCACTTGGCGCAATAATCAGCCGCTGAAAATTATCCGTTCTGGTCACCTGGCGCAGTTGTGACCAGATGGGGTATTTTGTACTGCTAGCTGTGTGACTGCAATGAGATATAAACAATACATTCTCCCCCCCCCCCAGCCCCCCCTCAAAAAGAAGAAAAAAAACCCCAAAACAACCTAAGCACAACTTTATGAATTAAAAGAGTATTAGAGCTAACGTTCCACTCAGAATGCTGCTACCTGAAGAGTCCACACAAAAAAAGAAAACAATAACTTTATGAATTACAAAAGAGTATCAGAGCTAAGGTTCCACTCAGAAAGCTGTTACCTGAAGAACATCTACATATGAGGTCTGCAGCTTCTGTAATGACCTGGTGATGGCCTCGTCAATCTGCTGGGCCGAGTAGGGTGGCGTCTGGGGACCCTCCCTGAAGCCGAACTTTGTGGCCACAACAGCGTCTTGTCGACGGCCAAGGAGGGCTTTCCCCAACACTGCTTCAGAGCCAGCATAACCCTGGGGATTGCAAATGTAGACAAGCGGTTTACTGGTCAACGGTCCAAACGGTCGGAGGTGGCCACCCATTGTCGAGGAGAAAAGTCGAGACCTTCTCGGATCCAATGTCGAGGAGAAAAGTGATTGTCTTAGACAGGTTGTTATTTGATAAACAGTTGAGACGTTCTCGGACCCAAAATCGAAGAGAAAAGCGGTTGTCTTAGACAGCTGGTTCATGGGTCAACAGTCGAGACTGTCCAAAGTGGCCACCCATTGTCGATGAGAAAAGTCAAGACGTTCTCGTACCCATAATCGAAGAGAAAAGTCATGGTCTTAGGCAGGTGGTTTATCGGTCAACAGGCAAGGTACAGTCGACACTGTCCCAGATGGCCATTCATTTTTTAGGAGAAAAGTGATGGTCTTAGACAGCTGGTATATTTGTCAATGGTCGAGACTGTCCGAGGTGGCCACCTGTTGTTGAGGAGAAAAGTGATGGTCTTAGGCAGGTGGACATTTTGGACAGCGTGTCATTATGATATAAAATTATATAAGAAAAATTTTGCCCACATGGCAACCCCAATGACCATCTCTTTTCAATCTTAAAACCTCCAAAGCATTTTTATACAATATCCCACCCAGCCAGGCCATCAAACTTGCTAGAAACAGGAAGCTCTTTCTCCCCTTGACGCCATAGAGGTACAAGAGGACGGATAAAGTAAGTAAAGAAAAGCATTTTTAAAGTGCAAAACATCCACTTGGGACCTCCAATATTTTTTGCTTTTTTCAGAGAAGACTGGATGTTCTATCCTACGTACCCTACGATCGGGGGGTGCAGAAAGCATGAGAATAAAATCTTGATGGTGGTAGGGATTGAACTCTGGACCATAGGGTTGACAGTCAAACACCAGACTTATTGAACGACTGAGCCACCTGAAAATTTCCATATATAATTGTTTTACTGGCCAAAAATTTTAACAAAAAGAATGTTTGGATTTATCAAAAAGGTGAATTTGGCCTACACTTACCTCAGCTGTGTCAAAGAAATTGATTCCCAAGTCAAAACATTTGTCAACGATTGCTTTGGATTCCTGGGGAAGAAATGAAATTTATTTAGTTTTAGTAAGAGTTTTACAGCACTGCAACATGATATGGTCATATAAGTGCCGAAAGATAAGAGGTGTCGCAAGAGAGTAACAAACACTAAAAAGAAGGAGGAGAGATAGGAACAATAGATGTTTGATAGGAAAGAAGTAGACCACACCAGAGCACCTGCCAACCACCCTTAGGGAAATTTATAAACGTAACAATAACAAAGACTCCAGAATACATTTGTGGCCGACGAGGTGGAATCGGGCTCTCATCAATTTTTGGGCATACGGAGTGGATGGTATCAACTTTAGGCCTGTCCATTTTCCTTGTTCTGGGTGAAAATAATATCCATCTATGTTGAATAGAGGTTGAGATATGTGTGATTGAAGGAGATGAAGGTCATCTTGTTTCAGAGGTAAAATTAGCGAGAAAATGGCCGCCAAAGTCGAGTTATTTCTTTAGCTTGAGAGTCCGTGGAAACTGAAAATTTACATTTCTTATCCCTCTAATATACGTTTTTCAGTAAAAATCCACACAGAAATGTGCTCTTTAATGTCCACGAAAGGTGTTGAACCAAAAAAACAAAAGTTCCGCAGGAAAATGCCAATTTCTTAACTTTCATTATTTTGATGAGCGCCTGATTTCACCACGCAGCCTCACATTTCCATAAAGACACTTCATTTATTTGTCAAAGTTATCCTGCAGTAGACAGACATTCTAAAATATAGTTGGTTGAAAGAAATTTAAATTATTGTTACAATGATGAACAAGCTAGGAGATACAGACAGTTCCTTGTACAACCAACATAGGATGAAAGTCTCATTCAGAATGGGTGCCACTCACTCTTCATTGACCCTTCAGAAAAGGGGCCTCGTTTTTCTCAGAATCAACAAAGTCTTCCGTTCAGCTCTCGTACATGCTCACCGAATGACGGTCTGATCTTCCAAAAATTTGGGTCAAATAGGGGCTTCAATTGATGAAACCTCTGGCATGCTAGATTTTTTAAATTTTTAACCCAACCCCATTGCTAAAAAATACAATTATAAGCTGCCAAAATCCAATTAGGTCAGAACCACTGCAAAGACAATTAATTAAAGCCATAATATGATATAATTATACCCCAATGACCACCTCAGTCATCAACCCCCACAACAGAAATTTGGAAAACGGCCAGCAACAGCAAGAGAGGGTTTAAGATCAGAACATTTTGCTTCAAACAAAGGTGATTTTGAAGCACAAATATACGCAAGGAATTGATTTTGGCCTATATAATTATGTATTTTATGCGCCAGCAATCAGCTGTGACATGTTCAGAATGTCCTTGTTGAAACAGATGTGTTGTTGTGTTGTTGCTTCTGTGGAGGTAGGGCTAGAGGACCATGTGAAATCAATAGTTATCAATACCTGTACGAGAATAGGGAGAGAGAGATAGAGAGATGGAGAGTGACAGAGAGACAGAGATAGAGAGAGAGAGAGACAGAGATAGAAGTAAGGGAACAGAGAGGGAGAGAGAGAGGTAGGGTGAGGGAGAAGGAGAGAAAGAGAGAGAGAGAGAGAGA